CGGTGCGGTGTTGCGGGCGGTGAGTCGCTTCACGGCTCGGTCTAGCTCTTCCTCTGTCACGTCGAAGTCGTCGGACCTCGCAACTGGATCCGAAGGTGACGGGGGGCGTGAGGGACTACTCTGGACCCTTGGGAAGAGGGTATCTACCACTCTTCCCACAAACTCCGGGTCCAGGGTCTGCGTCAGCGGGGGGACCCACGGTCTGAGCTTGCCCAGTACAAGTTTGTAAGGGCGCCCCCATGGGTCCCTGTCCAAACCCTCTATGAGCTCCTTCCAAGACCGAGCCTTGGCTTCCGCGATCGCAAGGCTAATAGCCTTTGCGGCAGCGCCGTACTCCCGTCTCCTTTCAGCGATCTCCTCGGCTGTAGCTCGCCGTCGTCTTCGGGTTCTCTGAAACTGGCGGCGGGCTCTCGAGCACGCTGTGCGAAGTTGCTCGAGTTCCGGTGTCCACCAGTACAGAGAACCTCTCCCACCCTTCGGCCTGACCCGTGGCATCGACGCGTCACAGACGTCAGTCATGATGCCACGGAACCAGACAGCCTGCGCTTCTGGATCGGACAAGACCTGTACTTCCTCTTCCTCTGGCCAATCCGCGACGATGGCTGCGGCGATGAGCATATCTCGGTTCAACCGCTTGAGGGCCCATCGTCGCGGAGGGCAGCTACTGCGGCGATCCGCGCCTGCGCCCGGGTGGCGAATGGCCACATTGAACACGATGTGGCGGTGGTCCGATAAAGTGACCACCTCTTCCGCGACCCTCCATCCTGACACCTGGTCGATGACCGAGGGAGTCGCCCATGTCAAGTCGACGATTGACTCCCCCTGCCACCGCACGCAAGTGCTGACCGAACCCCGATTCAGAATGCCGAGGTTCAGTCCCGCCGCCCACTCGATGAGTGTATCTCCTCTTACGTTGTCTAGGCGATCACCCCACTGTGTGGAGCGGGCGTTGAAATCGCCCAAGACAAGTACTGGAGACAGGAAAGAGCAAATGCAACTCCTAAGTCCGTCCAAGTACGCCTCGAACACGGGGAGGCCGCAATTCGGAGATATGTAGCAGCCCACAATGACCATGGGGCCCCACTCTACTGCCACAAACCCCAACCCTCTCTGAATAAGGGTGCAGTGGAGGCCGTTCTCCACCCCTGCCCAGTAACATAATAACAGTCTTAGAGTAGACGTTTTCTAGTCTATTACATTTAAATGGTAAATCTTTACTATAATATTTATAAAAATAATATTATTTTTGAATTAGCAGCAAACCAAGGTGGTTTTTTTATAGCAACCGTTCATATTTTTGTTAAAAATAATCTTAATTTAGCCATAAAATCTTTATCGGTTATTTGGAGAGAAGTACCAAATATATTTCAAAGTGCTAGATGTTCGGCTCATATTCTAGGAGTAATATTAGAAACGTTTTTTGTGATTTTGAGCGTCTTCTAAGTAAAATAAGTTTTTCCGTGTGGTGACGGATTAAGAATTCAGAGTGTCACCATCCCTATTCATCCCGTGGGTGTCGTAAGAGCCGACTAAGGGAGCAAACTATGAAGGATAACAGCACTGCAAAGTGAAGGAAAAATTGACACAAAACCAAACTAACCCGTCTGGCCAGCGTGGTATAGTAGGCCAAAACGTCCTTTTTAAGGCGAGGCCTATGTCCAACAGTGGACTATTAAAGGCTGTTGGTGTGATGATGTGATGTGATGTAAAATTTTCTTTGTACTGTCACAAGATTAGCACTCTCAGAACAGTGACTGGCTCCTCGATTTATATAAACTTTTAGCGATATGATCGTAAGAGCCGACTAAGGGAGCAAATTATGAAGGACAACAGCACTGCAAAGAGAAGGAAAACTTGACACAAACCCTAAACCAACCCGTCTGGCCAGCGTGGTATAGTAGGTCAAAACGTCCTTTTTAAGGCGAGACCTATGTCCAACAGTGGACTATTAAAGGCTGTTGGTGTGATGATGTGATGTGATGTAAAATTTTCTTTGTACTGTCACAAGATTAGCACTCTCAGAACAGTGACTGGCTCCTCGATTTATATAAACTTTTAGCGATATGATCGTAAGAGCCGACTAAGGGAGCAAATTATGAAGGACAACAGCACTGCAAAGAGAAGGAAAACTTGACACAAACCCTAAACCAACCCGTCTGGCCAGCGTGGTATAGTAGGTCAAAACGTCCTTTTTAAGGCGAGACCTATGTCCAACAGTGGACTATTAAAGGCTGTTGGTGTGATGATGTGATGTGTTGTAAAATTTTATTTATACTGTAACAAGATTAGCACTCTCAGAACAATGACTGGCTCCTGGATTTATATAAACTTTTATCGATAAGATCGTAAGTAACACGTCGTGTAATTATGACTCTTAACTTTAAGTGCGAGTGATATAATTTTTATCGCCACAAAGTCTTTAAACTGTGCTATCAAAACTATCACCATATCAGATAAAATTCCCCACAAGTTCCTTGCATATGAACTTATGTTAGATGGCCCTTGGAAATATCACAATCTGTTTGTTATATCTTTACATAGTATTAAATACAGTAGCTTTTGTGTGTTGTACGCTTAAACCTTTTAAATTAAGCAACATATTGTAAAGTGGGTTTTACCAATGGAAACAGTAATTCAAGAGGAAGGTATATAACGCATGCATATTATAGTAGAGAAAATCCAATAATTTCAAAGATTTGTCGTAAAAAACATGTTTTTGTACGCCTATATTTCGAACGCTGGCTAAACCTCACTAGATAGACCAAAATAATGTACTACGAAATAGATCTTCAAAAGCGGCATATGTCTATCTCCTAAGGATAACTCACAGTACAATAAAGTAATGGGTTATTTACCAAGCTATTTCACATTATAATCATATCATTACATTATTATTCTTTATCCAATTAAATACGTTGGGTACGTTGTGCATTTAATGTAGAATAAAATTGCTCTTTACAGCATATCGTTAAAATGAATATTTTGGAAGATATTGGATGTTTAAAATGCGGAGGCCCAACGACGGATCGGAGCGGGCCTATAAATATTGCATTATAAAGATGTCCTGAAAAAGTATTATTAATAGTCATTTCATAATATTAGTATAATTAATTACTCCGCACTGACACCACATTAATAGTATTAGTAGTATCTTCTTTGCACCCGTGCGAGGCCGGGGCAGATGGCTAGTGTAGTATAAAATATATTCAGTATTACAACATAATTTAAAATAATATCGCCACAATATTTCTCAGAAAAACGTCATCGAGAGCCAAAACAAACTTGTCTGAAATTGAAATTTCCTAAGCGGAGGTTTCAGATTGGGGTCGACTGAATCTAGTCAAATTTAAACTCAAATAAACACTGGTTTACGTTTCCACCGTAAATTTTTTTATCGTATCATCTCGGTTTGAGAGACCCTCCCTAACTGCCTCAGCTAGTATCGGAATCCATGATGTAGAAATTTTGTCCAAGGTCCAGTTTCGGCGTTATTTAGAATCAAATTAGCCTCGAAGAAGCTTGGTGTGCTGAACAGATCGAGGCAGTATTTCGTTCCGCCCAACCGCCTTCAACTCTATAAGACACAATAGTATGCCCATCTCTATGCAGGGGCACCTCAGACGACGGACGAAAAGGGTTGACCCCTTGGCGTTACGTAGAAATGTAGCTTCACTCTGCATTCTCTATCATAAATATCATAGAGTATGCTCCGAGGAATTGTTCGGACTAATACCGACCGCAACTGTCCGCCATCGTTCCACATGCCAAAATTTTCCCATCCCATCACTTGGATAATTGTCACTTCACCACTGTGCGATTTTCAAGACACCTTTTGCCTCGCATAACCAATCTGTGACGGACCGATACGACCTTCAAGAAAAGATCGTCATCTTCTTGAGTTGCAGGCGTTCATGGGCGTTGGTCACTTTCCATCAGGTGACCCGTCTGCTCGTTTGCCCCTTTACCATATAGAGAAACGGTTACGCTGTTTACTCTTTCGTCTCTTCCTTGACATGAAAGATGTATAATTATTATTATTTGAAATTATGGTTTCAATTACATTAACAGAAACTAGAAGCGCTGATATCAGTTTACAATTACCTCTTTTAGAAACAAACATTTTTAGTAAATCTTTTATATAATGGAAGTCCAACATCGACGATACGGTCAGGCATATATTTGACATATCAAAAAGGTGAAATTTTAAATGACATGGTCAGTTTTAGCTGTCTACATCAGCTAATACGATCTCCTCAAATAGTGGTCGAATACATCATGAAGTGATAAATTCTAACATCTGTCACGGACCAGATTGCTTAAGGCTTGCTCCACTCTTGCAGTTAATTTTATAAAATTTAATTATTTTTTTCTAGAAATAACACTAGTACTTGAATTGTGTGTGAGACAACAGACCAAGTAACCATTATGTCTTCCATGATTAAAATAAAATAAAATTAATAGTTAACTTATTTTAATAATATTCTTATAAATTGGAAACTGTTTGTTGTTTTTACTCTGTTATTACTATTGCTATATTACGCTTTATTGAGTTTTGTATAAAAATATAATAATGTAGGGGTGAAACTTTTCTATATCTCATTTTATAAGTTTACTGTCAGCCAAGTTACTGATGAAGGACTAGACTGAAATGTTTCATTTTTGATATGGAGAAGTGTGAGTAAAAAAACCTTTTAGAATTCTATTTTTAAGTCTCGTTTATGAAATAAATTAGTCAAACATGATTAAATGAACCATCATAACATAAAAACAACAATATTAAATATACATTTTGTTTTATTACAAATTTAAGAAACATGACATTTATTTACAAATATAATTTATTTAACGTATACTTAAATTTAGAAAACTTTCATTTTTAACAAATATAATAGTAACCTTTATGAAAATAACATGTTAAATGAAATGTTAACCAGAACCAGATAAAACTAAAAAAACGAATCCAAAATTCGATCTTTTCTACGTCGTTCGTTTCTTGATATCTATTTCTCGGTTATCAAATTGACACTCTTGAAGTAATAATCTGCTTTGTAATCATACCAATCTAACACTTTTCGGTCATACCACACATATGCTCCTTTTAGACTCTGAGGCGCATCTAATAATAAGTAAATAGGGGTTTCTGCAGCTTGATCTGTATTATAGAAACCAATTCCCAGAGTCATGTCTGTTCTTACCAACCCTGGATGCATTGAGTTTACAGAAATATTCCTAGACTCCAATTCTTTTTGTTGTAATATAGTTTTAGCACTCAAAGCTACCTTTGCTATTCTGTACGGAGCTATCGAACCCGCATCAGCTAATTCATTCAAGTCGAAGGTTCCGTTTTTTATTCCTTCTAAGTACCAATTTACGAATTCATTAATATCATTTTCAGTCAAATTTTTATTCGATAGTCTCTTTATCCAATTCTCATTTCTTATGTTGCTTAAATGACCGCAATTACTAGAAATGTTCAGAATACGTCCATTGTCTCTTACCAAAGGAAACAACAACTCCTCTATAGTTAGAATGCTGTAGTAATTGATATCAATAGTATTTTTAGCTTCTTCATAAGAGTAAGAATATAGTTCACTAGTATTTGCCACAGCTGCATTATTTACTAGTATATCTATACCCCCGTACTTTTCTTTGATGTGATCTCTGAACCTGACAATGCTTTCTTTATCGGTGACATCAAGTTGGTGGTATTCAGGTTTCAGACCTAACTCGTTTAGTTTTGCTACTGCAGCTTTTCCTCTGCCATCATCTCGTGATGTAAGGTAGACAACTCCATCAAATCTTTTTAAAAGACCTTTGACAATCGCAAACCCGATACCTTTATTAGACCCGGTGACTACAGTTACTTTTACCATCTTGATCTAAATTACCTGTTGAGCATAAGAAAAACATTTTTGTTAGAACTGATCAAGTCATTCAAATATTTACAATCTCAAATTTGGCAATTCCAAATCAAACAATGTAGGTGTTTTCAGATGATAATGATAACACACAACGCCATCTAGTTTCAAACTAAGCAGAGCTTGTATAATGAAATATCTAGATTGACTGATAAATTACTTATATTATTTTTTTGTAAATACATACACATTATACATAGCAAACACCCAAACTGCTAAACAAATATTGGCTGACCATGCAAACATTTGACCTCAGAACAGAAGTCGCATAAACAATGTATTCTTTTGCTGTGAGAGACGTTAACTATAGGAAAGCCGATCATCATCAGCCTGTAATAGTCCACTGCTGGACATAGGCCTCTCCTTAGAAAGGAGGTTTTGGACTACTATACCATGCTGGCCAGGTGGAGAGAACTGGCCAAATTAAGAATATGGAGTGTCACCATCCCTATTCATACCGTGGGTGTCGTAAGAGCCGACTAAAGGAGCAAACTACGCAGGACAATAGCACAATAGAAGGATAACAAAATAATCTCACATACATCAAGATACGTATGTATGCCGAGCGCAAAACTATTAGTTGATAATCGTAAAACTATTAGTAATCTGATATAATACTAATAAACGATTTTCATGTTTTTAACAATACAATAAAACATAATACCTATTATTTTAATTTGAAATATAGTTATAGACGCACATAAATTAACAAAAAAAATATCTTTTTACTACAAGATTAAACTACGGATTAAGAATACGGAGTGCCACTACACTTATTCATTCCGTGGGTGTCGTAAGAGCCAACTAAGGCCAACTAAGCAGGACAACAACTGTGCAAAGAGAAAGCAAACTTGACACAAACCCTATACCAACCCGTCTGGCCAGCGGTGTATAGTGGGCCAAAACCTCCTTTCTAAGGAGAGGCCTATGTCCAGCAATAGACTATTAAACGCTGTTGTGATGTGATGTGATGAAGCTAAATGAATAATGCCCGTTTTTTTTTGATCCGAACATCAATTTCATCAAAAAATTAAAAAGTGATGTACCTAAATCATGACCAATTGAAAACAGATCTAATTTTATCGATTAATTTCTCTAACAGTGAAGCATTTTTCGGCAATACGTTAAATTCAAAAGTTACAGGCATTTTCTCTGGCTATCCAATAATGACCTTGGTCACAACCTTGAAGGTTATGTCAAGAGTCAAGGGAAATTTTCAAATGGGGTTGCATATTTCTGAGCCCTGAATTGAAAAGACAGAAACAAATTACAGTCGAATATGACAAGGTCCTTAAAGGATCACGGTCATATTTAAAAAAAATTAAAGCACCTCTAATCGTGTGAGTTTGACCTTGGCTTGGTGACCTTTAGAGGGGTCAGTCAGGGTCAAATATATAGTCAGATGTATATATATTTATGTACCATGGAAGGAGAAAGTTTAAATATTGGTATGGCTACTAATGTATGCAATAACAGCTAAACTGCCTTACTGCGTCGGCGTCTCTCAAAATTCTCGCCTCCTATTTATAGTATCTACTCTTCCTTAATAAATGTGATATGCAACACTTAAATAATTTGCCCACACGAATGTAAAGAAAAGTCTGAATGTTCTTTATATCCGTTTCCATGTAAGTTTGTAAAGCAAATTACATGTTTGTTTAAGAAGACAACTTACGCATCAGGAATATATCCTTTGTGACTCAGGATATATTCCTAGTGCGGGAGCTGTCTTTTTAAGAAAAAAAAACAATTCTAACAAGCAGTTCCTGAGATTAACGAGTTCAACCAAACAAATTCTTCAGCTTTATAAATTAGTGAAGATTACAGACATGACAAGAAGAAATAAAAACCCAAACTTAGTAAGTTTTCAAAGTGCTCACATAAAATACCACATGCATTCTTACCGTATGTCCAGAAACAATTAAAATTGTGATGACAACACGTCCACGACTAATCGAAGACTACTCTCTAATGATTAGAATCGTAGACAGTAGGACTAACACACTGTTGTGGACATAATCGGTAAGTGGACATATTTATATGTATGACTCCCTTTTATCGCGACTTATGTATTTGATACCCTTTATCATTCATAAACACATACATCAAGAAGCAAATGTTATATAATAAAATAGATTACGTTATCAAACAAGAATATTAATAACTAACGGAGGGCAAAACAATGCACTGTTGACATATCATCAATTAGGTTTTACGCACGACTTCGCTGGAATTAATATCGATTTAATCGTTAGTGATAGATATCGATTTAGTAATGAAAAGTATTAATACTTTTATATTATACTAAGGATGTGCTATTCCAGATCATAAGTTTTTTTTTTTAGATTTATAAGGAAGAGTAGGTATATCCAGCCTTTATGGTTACTGTACACGAATTTTAGGAGCATAGCAGTGATCACAGCAGAGATATGTTAGTTATGTTATGAAATTCAAACTTCGCTATAATCTTAATATTCAATATTTTCACTAAAAATAAACTTTCAACAATTATCACATGTCATTATTGAAAAGGTACACTCTCTCTACTAAAATTTTTATTCAAGAAACATATAATTAATACAAAAATATGCTATAGGAATAAAACTCGATATAACCAATAATAATAAGGTACAATTTGACATATTATTAAAGAAATAAGTAGTGTAGGAATCCGTGCTAAACGCCTGCAATGGTTTACATCATATGTGAAGGATAGGGAACAACTAGTAGAAATAGAATTTTATAACCACAAGACAAATGAAATAGAATTTTCCGATCAGATTACAAGCCAATTAACCCCTGCATCCCACAGGGAAGTGTATTAGGGTGTTTACTTTTCCTCATACACATAAACGATCTCCCAAAAAATATATACGAACCATGTATTTTGTTTGCAGACGACATATCAATACTCACCTCATGCGAAAACAACAATAACCTTAATGATAAATTAAATTCTTAGTGCCACAGTGAGTTGGATGGCCGAACACAATCTAGAAAATATTTTCAAAACAAAAATAGTTATATTCCAGCCACATAAGAAAACACCGATAAACGTAAGTTTTACCTTCAATAATATAAATTTAGAAGAAGTTAATAAATTCACCCTATTGAGCATTGTAATAGACAGACATATTGATTGGAAATCGAACATGTTACAAATACAATATTTAAAAATTTACTTACGCCCTCCGAGAAATAAAAAAAAAACTACAGGCCTTAAAACAGCAATTGCTACCTGCTAATTATATGTCTACGCGTGTTTAACATACGGAGTAATCCTATGGGGCAATAGTACAGATGTACCTACACTTTTTCCTTGAAAGAAAAAAATAATTAAAATCCTAGTAAACATAGAAGACACGGAAAGTTGCCAAGCTCACTTTGTCGAACTTAAAATTTTAAGCTTACCCAGTACCTACATTTTTGAAACCATAAATTCTTTTAACAACACCCAGAGTTCTATAGCAAAAGAGAGGACATACAAACCAAAATGACACATATACACAATGATAAACTTAATCTACCAGTTTCCTGACTTAAAATGCACTCATACAGCCCATTTGTAATATCCATAAAAAATACAATAAGTTACCCAAAGCCATAAAACAGGAAGAGAAAAGAAGATAAATATAACAGTTTTAAAACTCTTTCTACCAAGTAAAAGCTACTGTAGTATAAAATAATATTTTGTTCATAGACAATATATTCTAAAACAATAAAATTCATAAATTTTAAAGTCGTTTTGATAAATGAAAAATTTAATATTAATTCCTATCTATCAAACAAACTGAGCTAAGCCCGACAGGGTCAATAATTGTTATTACTTAAATTGATATCACCTATGTATTTACATTATGTATTAAAAGTGCCTTGTAGTCTGTACATATTCACATCAACAGCCTTTAATAGTTCACTGCTGGACATAGGCTCTCTCCTTAGAAAGGACGTTTTGGTCTACTATACCATGCTGGCCAGACGGGTTGGTATAGGGTTTGTTTCAAGTTTTCCTTCTCTTTACAGTGCTGTTGTCCTGCGTAGTTTGCTCCCTTAGTCGGCACGACACCCACGGGATGAATAGGGGTGGTGACACTCTGTATTCTTAATCCGTCACCACACGCATATATATATATATATATATTATGGATACTGAATAAGGTACTATTTATGTAATAATATTATAATACAATACCTTCAGAGAATGTGTCGAACAGGACATTCGGAGGACTAAGGAAAACTTACAAAAATAAGCTTACCGACAATAATACCGTCATACAGAGGGTCATCTAACAGAATTGCTTGTCCAAAGTACTTGTGGAGAATATATATTGTGGTAGTTTTGATAGCACCGTTTAACGACTTTGTGGCGATAAAAATTATATCACTCGCACTAAAAGTTAAAAGTCATAAATATTACACGACTTACAACCATATCGATAAAAGTTAATATAAATCTAGGGGTGAGTCACTGTTCTGAAAGTGATAACCTTGATGAACTATAAAAAAAATGCTATGTAATGGATATAAAAGTTTTACTTACACTCCAAATCACAGAAAACGTTTGAAAAATTACTCCTAGATTATGAGCCAAACATCTGGCACTTTAAAATATACTCATAAATCCTCTCAGAATAAACGATAAAGATTTTATGGCTAAATTAAGATTGTATACAACAAAAAATTGGTCGGTAGCCATAAAAATATGCAGACAACTACAAATCAATAAAAAAATATGTTTCCTACAAGCGTTTAAACGAGATTTATCCTTAAAATGTAAAAGAGCAGAAAATGTCTGCACTAAGAATGTTATTCTGTACAAAACATTGTTTCCGAGCTGGTAAACAAGCTTACTGAGGCATCTGAATCGTCATTGTTAGCTCGCAGCATTACTGGCGTATGTCATTAAGGTTTTCTTTCTACATGTCTCATCGGATTATGATTTTTTGTGTGTTTTGAATTTGTTACATTATCTTTACATAATTAGTAAAATGAAGTCGCTGCTCGTGCAGTCGTCGAATATTCATAGCTTAAAATGATCTATAAAAATTTCGATGATTTTAATACGTCTGTCTCCTGGAGGTAACCCACAGCTAACATTTTTATCTGTAACAAATACAAAAAAAATAAAACAGGTTATTTACAAAGCCTTTATAAACAATACAGAATATAATGTAGATCAAAATAGCCTTTTACAGCATATAAAGTGGTAGAAGGAGGCAGATCTTTCGGAAGTGTTCAATGCGGTGTTATACCAAAGACATATAGGTGTGGATAAACTGCAACAGAGGGGTAATTTCACTTCCCTCGGTCTGTGAGTGTGTGTAAATAAGACACACTCACGATATAAACGGTTTCTTCCTTTCTTTCTCATCCTGTACATACCTACTTCCGTAACAACATATGAATAATGAAACGGGTACGGGGGCTATAGACACTCGCACACTCTGCCACGTTAAGACTCAATCTATAAAATATGACAAAAACAGAGATCCCATCGATAACTCAAAACGTCGCATTGAAAGCAGGCCATTCTAGGCGACAACTTCACACCACTGGCGTTATGCCAGAAGGCTTCCCTGCTCTGTCACACATATCTCGTATGAAAGAGACAAAGTTTGTTCAAAGTAACGTTAATTAAATCCACTCTATTCATACCGCTGGATTGTTTAATGCTCACCTCGACATATATAATATAATTGGTGCCATTTGTGGCTCTCCAATGTTTATTCCCCAATTTTAGTGGCCGAAAAAGGAAATCGTTTTACTGACGACTTGGTAAAAAAAAATTGTTTGCCACCTTCAAAATTGTATATTGAGCTTTGTTTTAAGACAAAAACAATTTACGAATTTTTACAGTCATCATTATTTAAAGTTTTCATACTACGCCGTCTCGTCTCGGACACTAATAGCCGGGGAACTAGATGTAACCTAGAAAGAAAACCCCTGGTACCACGTAAATGCCAGGCCTGCGTTTAAGGAGGACTGAGGTTGTTCAGCTGACTCTATCTTCAGTTTGGTTCCTGTCCAGTACTAGGGCCTAGCGGACCAAGAGAGTTCTAAAGATCTCCCGGTCCACCCTTCACCCTACAATTTAAGTGAAAAAATAATTCAAATAATAGGCAGTAGTTTTTTAATAATTTCATAACGCTAATAAAACAGCTAAAATATATCACATCACACATCTCATCAACAGCCTTTAACAGTCCACTGCTGGACATAAGCCTCTCCTTAGAAAAGAGGTTTTGGCCTACTATACCACGCTGGCCAGATGGGTTGGTATAGGGTTTGGGGTGCTGGCTAGAAAACCTCCTCGTGGTGCACCCTGGAAACGCTGGCGATGGTACTGTTTCCTCCTTGTCCTCTTGGAGGAGAGGATTATCGCCAGCGGCCAATATTCTAGCAGAAGAGGCAGCCGTTCATCGGCTCTCGGGCAAGGCCTGGTCCAGCAGGGTGGGCGTGTCTGCCGGTTGCCCTGCTGGCTCTTCGCTCTTCGGAGCATGGAGGAGGAAACCTCGGTAAAAAACCGGATGGCGGGGCCCTGTAGGGGCCACAGTTTCTCCGCTGATAGCGGTGGAGAAAGGAGGACGGGCTCGGCGTGTACTGACACTACCACCGAGCAGGCAAGGGGACGTAGTCTCCCTGTCAACCGTCGGCATATCGTAATCCCGAGAAGAGCGCTGTGGTTAAGTCTCGCGGCTCTGATCGGGGGCGAGGGTCTTGGCTTAACCGCCCGGACCGCGAGGAAGATAACCTCTCTAAAAAATTCCCCGAATCCCGTGTTCTGGTGCGTGGCCAGGGGATGCATGGCTGATGGGAAGTTCAGTCGCGAGCGCACTCCAAGCCGAGGTACCTGCGGACCCCTCGGTTGGGTTAAAAACTTACGCTTGCCCGGGTAATGGGGGATCTCTGCCCGGGTGGACCTTTAGTTCTCCCCCACTCGTGGGATTTAATATGGAAAATGTAATTAAAAACTCAAAGAAAACGATCGGACAAACACAACGAAAACAGGCAAGCCTAACGGAAAAGGAAGCAAACCGAAGGAAGGAGAAACAGAACAGTGGAGCGGATGGGTCGTCCACTGAGGGTGAGGTGGCGTCGGGGACGCCTATCTCGATGGGGCTCCCAGAAGTCAGTCTGACGCTGGTCTCTGGGAGCCGAAGAGCATCAGATCGGCTGCGTTCAGGATCTGCCGTTTCATCAGATGGCGCGGACGCCATGGAAGCGGAGCGGAGCGACAGCCGGAAACGCGGACGCTCCAGGGAAGAGGGGACCGACACGTCCGGCGAAATGATGCCACCAAAGGTGGCAAGCAGCCGCCGAGGGAGGGCACGTAAACCGGCCTCGGTCTCGACCCCGTCAGGCTCCGCGTTCTCAAATGCGGAGTCCGCTTCCAGGCGAACCTCCCCGAGCGGGAAGCCCCGTCCGCGTCCCAGCCTGCCCCTACCACCAACTCAGGGGCATTTGACTCCCAACTGCGAGAAATCCTCATCGCAGTTGGGAATATGCTGGACGGACGCCTGGCTGGCCTGGAGGCGAGACTGCACCCTGCGCCGATTATGCGCCCCCCGCTCGCGTCGGCACAGCGGCCTAAGGCCGCCGCTCCGACCGCGCTCCCCGTTGTGGGAGGCCGCGTTTCTTACGCGGCGGCGGCGTCTGCCCCTACTCCATCGGCTCCACAAAAGCCGAGGAGGGGGGCCAAGGCACCGGCCCAGGCGCCGGCCAAGGCACCGGCTAAGGCGCCGGCCAAGGCACATCCCCAGGCGCCGGCCAAGACGGGGCCTAAAACGGCGCCGAGGAGCGGAGTGGCATTCCCTCCGCTCCCCACTCCGACACCCCTGCCGGGCCCCTCAGCACCTGCCCCCTCCAACGAGGGTTGGCAGGAGGCGAGGGGCTCCAAGAAGTCCCGAAGGCGGGCCAGAAAGGCTGCCCAAAAAGCAGCCCAAGCCCAGCCTTCGCCACCGGTGGCAACGGCCTCTGTAAAGAGGCCGCGGAAGCTGCAGCTTCCCAAAACCGCGGCTGTAGTGGTGACCGTGTCCCCGGAGGCGGCTGACGGCGGGTTGTCCTACGCGGCCGTTTTTAAAAAGGCCCGGGACAGCCTCGCCAACGAGTTTGGGACGGTGGGGGTCAGGATGCGCCTCGCCCAGACGGGAGCTCGAGTTCTCGAGTTCCCTGGGGCTGAAGGCGCAAAGACGGCGGACTCCTTCGCTGAGAAGCTGCGGGGAATATTTGCAGCCACAGATGGTGTCAGGGTCGCCAGGCCTACCAAGTGCGCGGAACTGCGCATCTCGGGCCTAGACGACTCAGTGACGGCCGAAGATGTCCGCGCTGTAATCCGGGAGAAGACGGGGTGCAGCGCGGACAACGTCAGGGTCGGCACCATCCGCCCCGGTCCAGGAGGGCTTGGCGCCGTGTGGGTCAGCTGTCCCGTAGCGTCGGCCAAAGTATTGGCCGACGCCGGCAGGCTGCTCATCGGTTTCGTGAGCGCCAGGATCACAGTCCTGGCGGCGAGACCGATGAGGTGCTACAAATGCCTAGCATCGGGACACACGCGCGTCAAGTGCGACAGCTGTTTTGACTGCGGCGGACTGTATTTCCGCTGCGGTCAACCGGGGCATAAGGTGGCAGAATGCTCTGCCGCCCCTCACTGCCCAGCGTGTGCGGCGGGCAATAAGCCCGCCAATCACCAGATGGGGCAGAGAGGCTGCAAGCCTCCCCGCAGTTCTCGGCAGACGTCAGGGGCTAGCCAGTCGACCCAGGCTGCCTCTGATGTAGTACGTGCGTCGTCGTCGTCGCCCATGGAGGAGGTTGTAGAGACGATCCAGTAATGGATCAAGTCTCCAACCTCCTGATCCAGACGAACCTGAACCACTGTGCCGCGGCGCAGGATCTCTTCCTGCAAACCATGGCACAGTGGTCGATAGGTGTTGCCGTAGTCGCGGAGCCCTATTCTGTCCCTCCCCGTCCAAACTGGATGGGTGACTGGGACGGCTCCGTGGCAGTCGTCGGTTCCACGACGGCTCATTCCCCGCCCTTGTCGCTAAGAGACAAGGGCACTGGATATGTTGCCGTCGAGTGGGGGGGGATCACCATATATGGTGTCTATTTCTCCCCCAACCGGAGTTTGAACGACTTCGAGGTTTTCCTAACCAGCTTGGAGACCTCGATACGGCGACTAGCGTCTGGGCACGTCCTTGTGCTAAGGGGACTTCAACGCAAAGTCCATTGCGTGGGGTTCCCCCAGGACGGACGCAAGGGGCGAGGCCGTAGAGGAGTGGGCGGCCTCGGTGGGCCTCTGTCTTCTCAACAGAGGCTCCACCAACACGTGCGTGCGACAGCAGGGGGGGTCGATAGTGGACCTCTCGTTCGCTACCCCTGCCCTCGCCGCACGAGTAAGGAACTGGCGTGTCCTGGAAGAGGTTGAGACGCTCTCGGATCACCTGTATATCCGATTTGAGCTCTCCCGGACCCAGGACTCCAGTAGGGGTCACGTGGCGCGGCGTTTATCCCGCTTTCCGCGGAAGGCTGTTGCCAGACTGAACCGGGACCTACTAGAGGAGGCAGCCATAATTCACTCGTGGCTGTCTCCGCAGGCTCCGACCGAGGAGGTTGACGTGGGGGCTGGTCGCTTTCGCGATGCGATTACGCATATCTGCGATGCGGCCATGCCCCGCATTCGAGGTCGTCGGCCTCCAAGGAAGGAGGTCTACTGGTGGTCCCAGGAGCTGGCGGACCTCCGTGGGGCCTGTACACGTGCCCGGAGGTCCTACACACGCAGTCGGCGGCGTCACCGTGGAGACGGTGAGGAGGACCGGCTTCATGAGGAGTACCGACGGGCGCGGAAAACTCTGAAGCTGGCCATTAGCCGCGCCAAAGAGGAAAAGAGACAG